CGCAGGCGCCCCGGCGGCCGATCGGGCGCGTGTGAGACGGCTGCGTCAGTGGGAGTCTGAGTCGCGAAGGTCGGAAGCGCCCCATCAGCCTCTTCGTCTGGAGCTTGGGCCGTTCGTCCGTCTCATGTACAGCACTCAGATGCCGTTTGAGACAGAAAACTCGGGTCAAAAATGGGGGTTGACGCTGACAAAACCGCCCCAAGACTTTTAGGTGGTGGCTGGAGTTTACCTGGGATCCAACTGGACAGGAAGGCGGCGAGTTCGATGGCTCTGCTGTTTCACTTTCAAAAGAAACCTCAATTCAGCAAATGACGTTTGTCGGCTTCGCATACTTGACAGTTTGACGCTTTGTCCAACGCGCGCAACTGGGAAAAGAAAACTCGTGTTCGTGGTGTGCCCGTCAACTAATTTGCGATGTACTTGTTACCCTGGTCCGAGATCCTCTTGCGACCCCCCTCATGCGGTCCGGTGCCTGCGCGACCCTGAAACACAGACAAAATGTTTTTCCTTGATGGTATGACAGAGCCCTTCCTCCAACCCTGCCTACACTGTCGCCTACAAAGCAGCTTCCCAACTGACAAACGCCACAAAGTTGCTCTGGATCCAGACAAGCCAAACAACTCGCTGACCATCTCCAACACGCCTTGCCAAAGAGCACTCGAGTGCGCACAAAGACACGGGTTCCACCGCCGGCTCCAAACGCACCGCCCGCCACTGCCACCGTTCCCATCAGAACAACCCACAGTGACGACGCTCAACCGAGGCGCAGCGCAAAGCTCAATACTCTGGCCCTGCCCGTTCAGCATTTTCAGGCAGCCTGTGGACAGATGATCCTCATCAGTGCGCCGCTTGCAGAACTGCTCCTTGTTCTCACCCTCAGTCGGCTCCATCTGAGGCCTGCAACCCCAAAAATAAAAATACATTTTTGCAGGTGCCCCTTGTCAATGAAAATGCCATGCGTTTTGTTACCTCTGCACACTCTTCCAATTCATCAGGATCCTCTTCCACCTGACAACACCCACAGACTGCTTTAGTCCAGGTCGAGTCTTCATACTGCTCTGCTTCTCTGGTGTTTCCTGTCCTAAATTGCTAATTCGCACTGCCAAAATAACAGAAACAAAAAAATATGCATGTGTACATGTACTTCCTCCCCAATGCTAAAGGTAGACCACTTGAAGTCACTTCACATTTTTATTCAAGTGCAAAAACATCAAAAGAAATGGTTTACACGTTGCTGCCCCTCCAAAAAAAATATCTTAAAATACTTCACAGTACACCACCGAAGCATTGTTGCCTTGAGAAGGGTCCGGCTGCCGCTATTCTTTTCCGTCACCTCCAACAAGCTTGCAGCTGAGCATCAGGGGTGATGACTCTTCAGCGACTTCTAAAAACCCATCCGAAATTTGTGTGCCAGCTGTCATCTGCCGAGGCCTGCTGGAGAACTGAGGTCAGCGGGGTTGACACATTGATGAGGAGCTGAAAATGATGGCCTCAGTCCAAAATCCCCATCATGCAGTCAGTGTTAGTCAGTGCACACCCAGTGAGTTCATGATAGAGCGCCGGCAAGGACAAACATGACACTCGACATTTTTTTTTTTCCTCACTCACCCCTGTTCTGCTTCTTTAAAGTGCCTCCTGTGCCAAACGATTCCCCCTGCAAATATAGAAATGCCCAAAGAGTAAGCGAGCACAGTTTTATGTCGCCAACGTGTGTCTCCTTTGCTGGTTCGAGCCATCCAGCCTGCAAAACAAAATGTACACAAGAGAAAGGGGCCAAAAGAGGGCAAGCTAAAAAGGGGCCACATCAGACCACTGCCAATGGGAAAATCAGATCATGGACTGGGACAATGCAAACATTATTTGGAGCAAAAGATAAACATCAACGATGGATCAAAGCAGCAACACAGATCAGGAAATGGGGCACGGACGCAAATGAAAAGTTGTTATCAGACACGTGTAATTGATTTCTCCAGAACCCAATGTGGATGGAGCGGGCCGGGAAGATCGCAGGGTCGAGATGTTGTCATGGCAATTTGACATAACAGCGCTAAATGGAAGTAGCTGTTCATACTATTGAATGCTGACCAGTTATTTTGCTGATAAGCAAAGTTGCACTTGTCTGTACTCTGTGTCGCTGCTCAAAAATGCTGATTGCACTGGCCTTTCAACTCCCACAAGATAAAATGAGAGCAATAGACGCCCAAAGGAAGAAGGCTCCCGAGACAGATCTGTGAACGGTGTCCCATGTTCTTCTTAAATAAATCTCATCATTTTTTATACTTTTGTTGTCTTGGTTTCCCTGGACAAGACTGTCACGCTGGCGAAAAAAAAAATTAAAAAGAAAACCTGCACACACCTGACAACTCCTGAAGGCGGCGGCGGGGAATGTCAAAACTCACAAGCAAACTTCACACTGCAAAAAATAAAAATTAAAAAACACTCGGGTTCTGCATTTTTCACGACTCAAACCGTTGGTTTTCTTACTCTCGCCTCATGGATCTTCTTGCACGCTGCGAGAGGCAACTGGACGAATAAAGACGTACTTTGGGCTGTATTTGGAGCAGAAAGGGCTGAAAATGTGTGAAACGATTTAGGCTTGCAAAATAATATTCACATTTATAGAACAGTAAAGGACACTGGTGAATAACCTGCAAGGGGGAAGGGGGTTTAGACATGTAATGGGGCTTCCTCATATTGGGAGAGGACAAAAAATAAAAATAAAATAAAATAAAAAAACATTTTTGACCATGACAGTAAACTTCATAAAACCAGACGGATGAAAAGAGAAAAAAAGCGTACCACCTGACAGAAAATGCCATGTTCAAACAACATTTGGTCAAACAAACCAAAACCCTTCATAGTTCACTTCGCAAGCACAAAGACGTCGGTTTTGTCACTTGCAACAATTTCAAACAAAACCCAAAAAAAAACAACAAAAAAAAAAGCTGGCCAGCTTTAAAACAAACCCCCAAAAAGTTGAAAATGTGGCAAGAGAAACGAAGAGCACAATGTACTCCAAGGGAAAGACGAATGGCGCTCCAACCTCCAACGCTGCAAATCGGGCAACAAGCAAAAGGACATTGTGAGAAAGGACAAAAAGCGACAAATAATGTGCTCGTGTGCTCACTCAACGAATAAATGCCCACGCAGTCGGTTGCCATCTTGCCGCAGCTGTGCACCGCGCTCGATTTATTCCCCCTGCACACCTGACTCCAATTCATTTACTCGCCTGACGTCAGTTGGCCAATCCGAGCCAACCTTCTTCTTCCGCTGCTTGTTCAACGGCGTTTTGCAGACTAGCGCCACCGGTTGACCCGCCAGGGTGACTGCTTTGGCTTACCCCGAAAATTGCTTGACTTTCGGCCCCAAAGTGATGAACATGGCGTAAAATACGACTTCTTTCTCACCTTCGACAGCTTCTGCTGCTCGTCCTCGTCCACCCGCTGCGCCGCACGCCCTTCCACAAGATCATGGAAAACTCCACCAATTTTCTCGTGATGGGTCCATGAGGCGGCATGAGTTGCCACGATGACGCGCTGGGTGGATCCTGTGTCGCTGACCACTGACACCTGCTGGACTGTCAAAATCCCTGCAGGCAACCCATTTGACAGACTGATTTGATGACAAAGTGTATCCAATATCATTGACGTCAACGCATTCATATTGTATGATTCATTATGTTTGAATAATGTGAAAATTATATCAATGAGAATGTTGGTGGGCTTTGTCTTCAAAAATCTTTTTTCAGAACAATAAGTTGCTCCAGTGTTTGGAACTTGAGTCTGTTGCGTTCCTTGCATGCCATTTCCCCTGCTGTGGAGAACACACGCTCACCTGGCACGACGATGCCGGCGTACAGAGGAACTCCTTTGCGAGGTGGGAGAGGTTTGGGAAAAGTAGTGTGTTGGTTCTTCCAATATAACAGAGGGACTTGACTGCGTACCGTACAATATTCCCCTCTGCCAGGTACCGCTGGACCTCAGATATAGCATCTGCTGTTGCACTTCTGATTCAAATGAACAGGTTCAATATCAGGCTTCCGCAGAGCTTTCTGATGATGTGATCATTTGAGTTCGGTGTGTTCAACAGGGAGACTTGGAAAACATGAAGGATAGCGGCTCACCAGGACCCGAGTTTGACACCTGTGGGTTAAACAGCATAACGATGCATTTGCATGCATGTGTATTTGGATGACACAATATACTCGTCATTGGCATTAGGTCGCCGAATGAGTTCATATTAGGCAGTTTACGCCTAACAAACCCTGCACACGCGCAAATCATGTCAGTGAGACTCTTTAAATGCATTCGAAATGAATACACGTTTGAGGCGCACCATGTTACAGATTAACGTATATCCTTAATAAATTCATGTGGCCATTTCAATAACCGCATGTACTGTTTCAAGGGGTGTCACAAATCTGAGATGACCTAATAAACATCATACATAGATTGGGGAAGAAAGCGTTCACAAAAGTTTTTAAAAAGAGAGAGAGAGAGAGAGAGAGAGAGAGAGAGCGAGCGAGCGAGCGAGAGCGCGAGAAAGGAAAAGTTAAACTGGCGTGATAAGGACGCGCCCAGTGGTGACTTTCCACTCCACAAGCGACATGGCGGCCTACGTGAGACGGATGCACCACGTTTCTCTGCACGTCTCCAATGTGGACAAACTGGCCAACGACTTGAGTAACAAATTCAAGTTCAACCTGTTCGCTACCAGGCTGACGGAGAGGACCCGGCAGCTCGCCTTCAGGACCGGATCCGCCGTGTTTGTCGTCAACGAGAGGGCGAACCGAGGAGACTGTGGCCGGCTCAATGTCGAGCCGCAGCCGCCGGAGCATCACCAAGCGGCGGGGTGCCTTTACGACATCCCGTCGCGCCACCCGGTAGACACGGCGTGTAACGTGTGCTTCGAGGTGGACGACGTTCACGGCTCGTACGAGGCTCTTCGGCGGATGGGCTGCAGCTTCCCGGTGCCGCCCACCACCGTGCGGGACCACCAGGGCCAGGTCACCTACGCCGTGCTGCGCTCCGTGGTGGGAAACGTGTGCCACACTTTGATCGACAAGAGCGAGTACCTGGGAAGCTTTTTGCCCGGCTTCCTGGAGACGGAAGGCGGCCAAGAGAAGCAAAACCGCCCGGAGGCTGTCACTCACGTGGACCACATCACTTACGCGTGCGCCACCGGTACCAGCCAACAAGTTCTGAGTTGGTACCAACAACTATTTGGCTTCCAGAGGTTCTTCATCCATCGGTAAGACGTCCTAAATGGATTAGTTTGAATTAGGGCGCAGTTAAAGAAAAAAAGAAAAAAAAAAGGGGGGGGTGAGGTTCTACCTCAATTAGACTAAAGTCAATTTGACTCAAGTCTTTTTACTTACAAATGTAGTCACAGGACAATTGAAACTTGTACCTGAACGCACCACTGTATACTACCTTAATGGCAGCCATGCCATATCTTGCTTCATAAACGTTTGCTCTTACTGGATGGTCGTCCACTGGTCCCTAAAATTCCTGACACAACACCAAAAACTGCACGTGTTCAGCGGCGTTTGGTTGCGTCTCCCTCCCAGTTGATGCAATGTCGATGTGTGCATGGCATCTCGGCAGAAATGACGAAACAGACAGCGGCTTTGTCATCAACCAGAAGGGCATCGGCCTCCGCCTCTCCGCCATGGAGTACTGGAAATGCGGCGAGTCGGGCCTGTCGCTGCCCGGCGCACGGCAAAACGAGCCCGGATGCAAATTTGTCCTCGCCGAATCGCTGCCCGATCAAGGTGGCGACCAAAGCTGAGTAAATATTGATCCGGCGAGGAAGATTAATTAAATGTTATTTAATGTCAATGTGATCTTGTGCTTCCCTGCAGGCAGTAACCAGGTGAACACTTTTTTGGAGGAGCACCAGGCGGCAGGGGTCCAGCACATTGGACTGTACACAGGCGACATCGTGGAAGCGGTGCGTGGCATGACCGATGCCGGCGTGTGCTTCTTCTCTCCGCCGCCTGCCTACTATACTGAGGTTTGCATAAACACCAACGGGCTAAATGTACTGTTCCATCCATCCATTTTCAACCAGGAGCAAGAACTTAAGCAGGGAAGCTCAAACTTCCCTCCCCCCCAGGCACTTGTTCCAGCTCTTCCCGGGGGAATTTGGCGCGTTCCCAGGCCAGCTGCGAGACATCGTTTCTCCAGTGTGTAAACTGTTCCCGATAGTGCTAATACATATTATCCTCAGAACAAATAGAAGTGCTCATGGAACAGACACTTGAGGTACACCGAGTCTGTTCTTTTTTTTTTTTTTGTTTAGTTATGCTTGTTTGATCGACAAATACCACGTTTGACTCTTGATATTGGAAGGAAAACCAACGCATGCCGAATGGCGTTTGCATGACGATGACGATTATATGTATCAGCGCTATAGGAACAGTTCAGTGCTAATACATGTATAAACAAATACTAAACAGTGTGATAAAAGCAATACAACACAATAAAATCCCATCATATGAATGATCCAAAGAATTTATTTTTGGGGGGTAAAAAAAATTTGAATTCTGTCATAATTCCCTATTCGGCAACTAATTCATACACTTAAGTAGTTCTGCTTATGTTCTTTGCTTGTCTTGACACGCGTAGAATGAAAACAAAATGTTGCTAAATAGTCCGAAATAATTTTTTCTGTAGTCAGTTAATTCTGTTTCATTAAAGTGCATTAAATGGTTTGTTTTTTTCTGAAATGTAGAATTCAAATTAATTGAATGTAATTTGAATTGTATTTCTTTATTTTTTGGAAAAAGAAATCTCAATATCCTTTTGGGCAGTCAAGCCCACTTTAAGATATCTGCTCATGTTTGTTTGCTAAATAAATGACTGAATATACTCCATTCTAAAACGAAATGTAAAAGTTAAAATCATGTCCCTAATTGTTGACTCTTTTGAAAATAATAGCTAATTTGTCCTCGTCACCTTTTGTCTTTTAACTCTTGTGCATGACCAGTTGGGAAAACTGCGGGAGATTGAGGACGCGGGACAAGACGCCCAGAAGTTGGCGCAGCACGGCGTTCTTCTGGACGCCGACCCACAGATGCAGGCCACATCGGCCCGCGAGTCGCAGAGGTGATCCATCGTCTTATTCGATCTCATATTAGGGCTGGCCAATTAATCAATATTATCAATACAAGTTTTTGGAGAGGTGTTTTTTTTTTCCCCTAAGTCGGTTAGGTAGCTCAAAGCTGCTTACACCAGGGGTCACCAACATGGTGACCCGCAGTCACTATTTTATTCTCAGGCCACATTGTCCAGCACTACTGTATTTCCTTTCAGCAAGCAAACAGTATTCAAGCAAACAGTATATCGAGCTTAACGTCCCCTCCCCAGGTACCTCCTGCAGGTGTTCACCAAGCCACTCTTTGTCGAGGACACCTTCTTCCTGGAGCTGATCGAGCGCCAGGGGTCGAGCGGCTTTGGCGAGGGCAACATCCGGGCCCTTTGGAGGTCGGTTCAGGTGTACATGGATGACGAGAAGCTGGCGGGCGCTCAGGAAACCGCCCCGCAACAGTCACGTTAAGCACTTTGAAGCATACACACTGGAAGGGATTATTTTTGAATGTCTCGCAACAGGGCACACCTATGAAAGAGAGAACACAGAATGTAACAAATGATTTTTTTTGTTTTTGTTCGGGTATTTTTGCAGGGTTTTCGAGCAATGCAGAAGGGTCGCTTTTGAAGTAGAATGTTGTAAATTAATGTGCTGATATATTTATTCTGTGGGACCGTGGTGCATTACTGATCGAAATCAATTGTTAGGAGCAAAATACACTTCCTGTTACTATACATGCTTCTCCAAAATGCAAATTAGACGTGTTCTTCTTTGGTGCTGGCGTTTTTCGAAACTACTGTTCTTTTTCCATGTGCTGGTTTTATAAAACCTCTCTGAGACACTGTGTGACCTCTTGCATTTCTGAAAATAAATCAGTTTTAAGCAGCCACTTGTTTACTTGCCAATAAAAAAATATACACACACACAGTACATGGAAGTAGCCATGTAATACACACAAAAAAATTCATAATTGACTAAGCTGCAATCATAAGTCATTTTTTTTCAGAGGGTAAAAAAACATTTGCTTGTGAGTAGAGTTTGTCTCTCGACACGTCTTGCTCCACTGTTTGTGTTCAAATATGTTACTGTGGAACACTGGACTCCTACATATTCATAAAATACATTAGTTGTACAATGTGTGTCGATTTTTTTCCCCTTTGTGTGTAGTGGAGGAGAACAAACTGTTCATCAAGGGGGAGAAAGATCAGGTCCTGTGACAAGAGTCCGCCAGCCAACTGTCAGAGCTACAGGTGGTGTACACTTGTCCTAAGGCCATAAACCACAAGCATACTAATTCATTTTTTTCCTGGAACTCGCAGTCTATTTCTGATGAGTAGACAGCGCCCCCTATGAGCTGAATAAACACAATACAAGTGTGAAACAAAACATTCAAAGATGTTTGGAACCCCCCCACCACCGTCCCCCTTCAAGCAAGCACAAATCCCGTCTGCCCTTTAACACAAAAGGCAGACAGTCTAGAAGGGGGATGCTGGGGGGGGGATTAGTGACACGTAACAGATGTAACTCCTTGATGACCGAAAGGGTTTCAAAATGAGCCAGTGCCGGGCTGGTAGGCATACTGCAGCGGGTCCAGTGACGAGCTCACCCACAGTCGCAGGTAGGCGAGGACGAGTCTCTCCAGCGTGTTCATCAGGTGAGACGTCAGCGCCACAGGTCTGTAGCTGTTGAGCTCCTTCAGGTGGGGGGGGTCTTAGGCACTGGGACCAGGCACGACGTTTTCCACAGCTGTGAAATTCTGTCCAGCTTCAGACTCAGGTTGAACATGTGCTTTTTAAGTTTAACATCAGAATCGAACGCATAATCTCTGCATTGTGAGGTGGATGTGCTAACCAGTGTGCCACCTTGATGCATATTTTAACAAACTTTCTTTGAATTTAGTATGGAAAAACACATGGAAAAAAGTTCCCCAACTGTTATTAAAAATGCTTAAAAAAACCTCTTGCCTTAAAAATGGAATATGTGCATCTTTCAACATTTTTTTAAAGTTAAAGATGACTTCGGAAATTATGCTGTTAGTGAAGCATTATTGCAAAATGAATACTTCCCTGTCAGCGTCGATCAAAAATGAAAATTGTATCAAATTGAATGACTGGTGCTTGTACCCCATAGTATTATAGATGAAATCTACCTCCAAAAACACTTGAAACAACAGGCAGTTTGTACAGTGAGAATATTCTTACTTGAAAACTCTATATGATGTCGGTAGAACAATGTCAAAGGTCACTTCCTGGACATCTGTTTGCCATAAATGTATTTATTCTTTTTTTTTTTCTATGACAGACCCGTTATTATTCGAGTTTAAGAAAGAGAGATCTCAGTATTACCCCCTCTGGGTCACATTGGTATGGTAAAGTTATCAGGTTTCAAGTTTTATGTTGTGGAAGCACTTTGGTGTACGTGCGTGTGCGCGTGCAAAACTGATTACTTTTCATTACAGCACGGCCGGATCGTTCCATTACGTTCAAGGAACATTATTTTAACATTCGCTTTGACTTTCCAACAGCGTTGGAAATATGAGTGTTTCGTTTAGAAAAGTTAAAATTGCATGATTGTATGACGATGAACAATAAACTCATTGCTGTTCACATGTCGAGTTTGGCGGTGGGAACGTCTTGCGACGCCCCTCCAGTCTTGCCGCGAATGGTCTCGTCCACTATGTGACGTCACTAGCAATGTTGGACAGTAGAGCATTGGACTTGAGTAAATGTTGCACTTTACACTTCTCCTCAGCGAATTACTGGCTGCGCGTCTCACGCTGGCTTTCTGTTTTTGTTCGTTCGTTTGAGTGTTTGTTTCAAAAAAATGCACATCAGATGCCAACATGATCCGGCTACACTGAAAAGCAGCTAAAGGTAATGTTAGACACCCGACTCAAGCTTTGACTACGTCAAAACAGTCGTAAATACGAAATGTGTTTACTAACTTGTTAGAGCACTTGAACGTGTTCTTCAGTCGTCAAGGATGGTGATTGTTAGTCAAATAACTTTATGGCTCTGAAAACGTTTTCCTCGACCAAGTTCATCTTTCTTTTGTCTGTGGTGTATATTTCTTTTAATAATTTGCACACATTCAACGACATGTTCTTTCTTTCACGCAAATTGTCTCCACTGAATATTTATTTTTTTAAACGACGTATTCTAATTTCACTTGATGTAAGTTCAAGAGTACCCTGTTATGAATTTGATAAGATAAAGTTGAGATCCCACATGGGGCGCAGTGGCGTGCAAAGGGGTGGGGCGAGTGGGGCCCAGGCATCCACCTGAGGGTGCGGGGGCGGGGGGGGGGGGGGGGGGGGGGGCGGCGGCCCCCGGGGGGGGGGGGGGGGGGGGGGGGGGGGTGCGTGTCCGCGAGTGCGTGCGTGCGGACCGCAAAATTACTTGGGCAGGTCTCAAGACCCTACAAATCTACAGCAATTATAACAATCCAAAATGTTCCACCCTGCAGTAATTAGTCATTTTTACGAGAAATAAGTTCTTTTTGGTTTTTATACGATATTTGGATTTTATTCAGGAAAAAAAACATCTTTGTACGTTCACGAATACACCAAATGTTCTCCTAGTTTTTTTTTAATAGTTTTTTGGTTCAATCGAAAAATGTATTTACCAAACCATTTCCAAGCAATATATTTCAGAACTGCAATTGCAATACCGTGAAATCGTGATATTTTTGCTCATGGTTATCATAGTGTCACACTCTGATAATGGCCTATGCTGAGGGGAACCAACATGGAATACAGATGTTTTTAATAGGGGGAAAAAAAAAGTCATTATATGAACTGTTATTTACTACGGTATAAATCCGGACACATTGTCGTAAGTCGGATATATTACTACGGATTGGTTGATAAAGTTTGGTCTTATCCAGGGTTTTCAAACATTGCCATAAGAGAATTAATTTAAAGTTTAGAACCATCTAAGCATGCTAATGGTGTCTCTCGATGTATGGAGCATTTAAAAACGTGTCAAAGTAAGGGAGGGCCGTTACCCTCAAATGTGGTTGTCTTACGAGTGCACCATAACCAAAACTTGAAACATGCGCTGCCGTCAGTCATTCAGTTACGGTGGGGCTCAAAGACACCCCATGATGTGACAATACATGTGGAAAATATTACACTTCCACTCCACATTTGACCTTTTTTTTTAACAAGCACAGTTGATCCATTTCCGAGCGGATGGCGGCAGAAACTCGTGTTTGCTCTGTAGCCTGCGTGTAACATTCTGTGGGCGCTCGCCATGCCAATTTTCTTTGCCAAACTCAATTTGACTTTCGTGAGGTGGGAGATCTCGGCTGTTGGTGGAACTGGTGGTTGTGGTTGCCGCGGGGACAAACCGGAGAGTTCTTTCTAAAGAGTTGCAGTGGTCTTGCCGTATGATCCTGCACATGATGTACGAACGTAACAAGCGTACGTCGTGTGGCTCTGCTTGTACAGTACCGTTTTAGTTTTGGTGGAAAAGTTACTGTCCTATGTGATGATGCAGTATCAGCGGGGTAACAGAGGCGATGTGCTTCTTGCGGAATTGTAAGGGAAGCAAAACAATTTCTAGGAATTGGATTACGGGAAACCTGAGGATCTGATGTCTCGTTTTAGGCCGGTTCTGTGGCAGCTACATTTGGGGGTCTGCTCAAATTTACAGGATCTCCGTGTGAAAGAGGCGAGCGCGCTTCTGACACGTTCCCGTACGGTGCGGCGCGGGTCGGAGGATGTTTGTGTTTTCAATTGTTTGACCTTAATGGCTCCTGCGCTAGTGTGTACAGTTGCCGTGATTATGTGTGTGTGGGGGGAATAATTAAACAGCGGGCCCCCTTGGGAGCGCGCCTCTGCTTGGCAGCCACGCTGAGTCTTTGTGTTTATGGTAAGCGGGCAGCTGCAAGCTGGACGAGACCCCCGGCCCACCCCCGTGACCCCTCCCACTCCGCTGAGCTCATTTCATTCATAAATGGACAGAAGTGAACGTACCCTACTTTGGTATGTTTGCTTTGGGCCCCGTCATCCTGGCACCTGCCCTTTAATTAATAACAAGGAAGAAAAAGTTTGGCCTTTGGGTAAATTACCACAGCGATTAGGCATCAGGAAAAAAAAAAAAAAAACTGGTTTCAACCGTCAATTAGGGGTTTCCTTTTATGAAGGGGTTTGGCACAACACACCCTTCCCAAAGTTTGGGAGGCGAGCGCGCTTCTGACACGTTCCCGTACGGTGCGGCGCGGGTCGGAGGATGTTTGTGTTTTCAATTGTTTGACCTTAATGGCTCCTGCGCTAGTGTGTACAGTTGCCGTGATTATGTGTGTGTGGGGGGAATAATTAAACAGCGGGCCCCCTTGGGAGCGCGCCTCTGCTTGGCAGCCACGCTGAGTCTTTGTGTTTATGGTAAGCGGGCAGCTGCAAGCTGGACGAGACCCCCGGCCCACCCCCGTGACCCCTCCCACTCCGCTGAGCTCATTTCATTCATAAATGGACAGAAGTGAACGTACCCTACTTTGGTATGTTTGCTTTGGGCCCCGTCATCCTGGCACCTGCCCTTTAATTAATAACAAGGAAGAAAAAGTTTGGCCTTTGGGTAAATTACCACAGCGATTAGGCATCAGAAAAAAAAAAAAAAAACTGGTTTCAACCGTCAATTAGGTGTTTCCTTTTATGAAGCGCTTTGTCACAACACACCCTTCCACACGTTAGGACACAAGACAAGAGTCCAAACATGGTAAGCTACAAGCAGTACGCCACGAGCTGTACTCGCATACGAGTGAACGTTTTTGTGAGGTGCTTTCCCACCTAAGTCACGCGGTGTTCCTTTCACTTTCGGCGAAACAGACTTTATGATGCAGTGAACCCTCGCTATTTGCACTAAAGCAAATATCTGCTAATCATAAACTGCTTGAACGTGTGAAGCCTCAACTGATTGTAAGTCGTTTGCAAGGGAAGACGCAACGCCGGCCGCAATTTACATTTCAACGAGTTGATTGAGCTTTAAAGTGTTTTTGTATTATTATTAATTTTTTTTTAACCAGCTGTCTAGGGGGTTATAGCATGGATTAGCATTAGCGCTAATTGTCAGTCAAGACCCAAATCCTTATGTAATGTTTGTTGGCTGGGGGATTACAGTCTAGCCAATGTATGGACAAGCCGCTCTAATTGGGGCGTATCAGATTTTGCGGCCCCCTTGGAAGCACCGCACGGGGGATGTGTCTGAGGCCCAACACTTTTAGTAGATCTCCACGTTTGCGTTCGTTTTAAATTTGTAGAAGACTACATTAAGTAGTGAATGGGGAAAATTAATTCTTATATCGTATCCATGATATTTTTATCACATCTTCATACTTTTTAATTTAACGTTATCTTTCTTTGGGAACAGACAATTGAAATGGTAGCATGCATTAAAGCAAATCAGTTTTGAAACAATATTAAGCCTGATCTTTGCTGACAAGATCAAGTTGCGATCATTCGTATTACACTTTAACTAATGGAGTCATAATTCAAATAGATAATAAACGGTATGATCATTACAATTGTATTATTTCACATCCATCCACACCTTGAACTTGACGCCAGTCAATCACAGGGTGTGTACATAAACAACCACTGACATTCCCATACAGTATTGGGGGGGGAAGAAACTTGGACTGATGCTACAAGCGAATGCTAAACGTCATCCGTGTCCTCCTCACATTGAGCTTGTCGCCCCGACGTGATCAAGGCAAGGAATGTAAATACAGCGTCTTGCGAGACACGCAATGCTACACGGATTTTCCATGTCATCCATCCGGCCTCGCCGAAGCCACTTGGCTCTGTGGGACTCGTGATACTTGCATCCTCCACCACCAGGAAGGTTGTGTGGATAACCGCAAGGTCGGCTATTCCTGGCCACCCCCCCCTACACACTCTGAGGATTCAATTACACAACTTTGACCCTGTGGATAACTTTCTCTCCTGCCTCATTTGCATGGCTATGAATCATCTTGTTTAGTAGTGTGACAACAAAACAAATGTTGCATGAACTGATTTTTCCAAATGAGACAAAAGCTCGAGTGGGTACGCACATCCGCATGGGAAAAGATGCTCGGCAAAAACACTCAACTGTGCGTGTCTCTCCCATCAGGATCGGCGGCCCGAGGAGTGAAGATTCGCCATGGCCTGCTTGACTGACACTCGCCAAAACGGCTCGGGACTGGGATGCACGTCGCAATGGTGATCATTTGCAAGAAGAGGTCGGAAAAGGGCGGCGAAAATGTAACGTCGAAAAGCACACATTTGGGCTCGGTGAGTGAGCGCTCATTGTGTCAACTTCAATTCGAGCTCGAATTTCGACATCCACCGGAAACTGGTCAGGCAAGATGGTGGGACGGAACTGAAATTGAGAACATGAGAGTCTTTTGTCGCCGTTACATTGAATTGCATCATGGCTCATTATCATCCGCCGCCAGCTCTCACCGCGGTGTTTCTGTCACCCGCTCTCCATTTACTCCACTCGCAGGCACAATAGAGTCGTTCAGCGTCCGCCACGCTGACTCATTTTGCAAATCACGTAGGTGGAGGAGTAGAAGAATTCCGTCCTGCCCTCTGGGCCACAAGAAAATGAAGTCAAGACGCCGGCATGATTATTCTGCTCTTATTTCCACAGTTCCAGACCGAGACCATGAGCCAGGGGACCGCTCTCTTCTCTCGTGAACTCACGGGTAAGAAAGACAAACAAATATGCGTTGACAAGCTGAGAAAAGACAATGCTGGTGAGGGTTCAGGACAGACAAAATGGATGCACGTTTACGGTGCGCCATTTTCCACCACATTACTCCTGAGAAATGACCGAACGTCCCCTGGCGAGCAAGCCACTTCTGTCGCACTCAATCACATGACTAAACAGCACAAGTTATTCATACAACCTACTGATTGTGCAGCATCATGAGACACAATTAACCGGCTCTTGGAGAACTCATGGTTTTGAGAGAGAACAGGAAGTGCTACTCTGTGAATAAATCCCAAAGGAGTAAAAGTTGTAAAAGTCTTCACGAGGCCTGAAGAGTTGCTCGGTTCCTCAATCACATGGGTGAATAATTCGAATCAGGATTCACAAGTCAGGTTGTGATGGGAAATGAGCTTGGCACCACTATTAGCGATGAGAATCATGACATTTTAGTGTTTGGACAAGTTTACGGGTGAGAATCCATTAAGAAATTGTGTGTGGCCAACGTGTTTACAGATACCAGGGGATGGTGCGAAGTGGCACACGGTCGCGCCGCGCCGCAGAGTCAGGTTGGCACGAGCCTGGAGAGTCTCTGGGACATCCTGCCGCAGGTGCACCGGAACACCTCCCAATGGGACTGGGATGTGGGCTGCACGTCCAGCACCATCAGCAGCCTCCTGCAGGACCTCAGCCTGACCGAGGCCGCCGCGTCCTCGCTGGCGGCGGCGGCGCCGCCCAGCAAACGTCAATGCCGGTCCCTCTCCTGCTCCGACGAGCTGCACCGCTCCACCTGGCGACCTCAGGGATCCAGAGTGTGGACGGCCGTGGAAAAGAGGAGGTGCCACAGCGGCGGGAGCGTCCATCGTGGCGGATTCACTCCGACGGGCTTCCCGGCCATCCGGCGGAGCTCAAGCATCAGCCTCAGCCTCAGCCTGCCCGTCGGCCTGGCCCGGCCGCTCTACCGCTCTAACGAACAGATCCCCGAGCTCCACGGCCCTTCGCCGGTCAGCTCGCCCGACTCCACCCCTGAACTGGAGCGCCGAGGAGGGCCGGGGGGTCTAGCCCGCAGCCGCTCGCAGCCCTGTGTCCTCAATGACAAGAAAATCGGTGTCAAGCGCCGGAGGCCGGATGACATGCAAAGGCCCTCGCTGGATCTGGCAAAGATGACCCAGGTTGGTGTTCACAAGTAAACATGTGGAATCGCGGCCATCCTCGTTCCAGGGAGTTGGCAACTCATGAAAACAAGTTCCAGAACCCTGCAGACTGGGTCGTGACCGACTTAACTGCGCTTCGCATTGCTGGCTGGCCAACTGACTGAGGCAGTGTGTCATTTACCCGTCAATGTCAGGGACCGAAACAGCTGCGGCAGAGGTCACAGTAGTGGGGCGTGGTTGTAAAGAGGTATTGATTGGGGGGG